AAATAGGGTCAATAGCAAGATGGTTGTTTTGGGAGCTGATGATACCTTGGCAACTTGTGAAGAAGCTGAGCTCAAGTCTCCGTGTCCCGCCATGAGTCTGCACAAGTTACTTGACATAGATGTGTCATGATACAAATAAATGCCGAGAGGTATTTTTGAAAAACACGTTGGTATCTAAATGTTTTTGTCAAAGTCAAATGAGATAACTCACCCTGTGTCTGTCAAACCAGAGTATTACTTCTAATCACAAAAGGAGTGCCATGAAGTCTCATGGTTGCATTGTCAGACTTATTTGCATACAAGGTCCAAATGTAGATGCAAGACTTTATTACAGGTGTCTCTTATCTACCAGAAATCATGATATTGAATATACATAGCAACTGCCTCATCAGCTCTTGGTGTTGGTTTGTTTCAAAGCTACAGCTGTGAAGTTGGATGTGACTGTACTGGAGAGGTGAGTCAGTAGGAATCAATATGTTATTGTAATATCAGCTGCAAGTGAAATGTGTGTTTCTCTTAGGAGATTCTAATTTGTGTCGTGGTGTACTTTTTGTAATGTGTATATGTGTAGTTTCAGTGCTGAGTTTATGAAAGAGGATGGTTTTAAGATTTTTTTTAGAAATGCAACAAATGAAATAAGGCACATAGAGGAAATGGGTATTGCTGACAAGTACAGCATGACTCGGACATCATGTGATTAGTGCCAAAGATGAGTGATGTTACTTATACACTAACATTTTTCTTGGCTTTAAAAGGCTTTGGATTGGGATGTAGCTTTGCATACCGACTCACTGCAATGAAAAAAAGTAATATGGATCAAATTGCAAAACAATTGATTTGCAAACCCAACATATTTGTATTTTTCTGCACTACTTTGGTTTCATGCAGCTGATGAGCCATTCTTGTTACCATAACCAGTATGGTGTGGGCTTCTGTTGGTTATAATTGAGAATGAGTGCTCACTTTATTTTACCAAAGTAAAACTTGAGCAGTGGTTGAGATTATAGGAGTGGTTCTTCCTGCAGCAGCAGAGGTGTAATGCAGCAGTTGAATTCTTGGAAGGAGCCTTTTCTAGGGAAATGTACT